ATATATATATATATATATTTCATATTTAATTAAATGCTTCAGAATATATTGAACATTTTCATTTATTATATTATATTAATAATTATGCAAATTAAGTTTTAGAATTTTTATTTAAATTCAACTTGAAACGTCTTCATAATTCACAATGTGTATATTTTAAATTGAATAAATGTATTGTTTTTAATTTACAAATAATTAATTTTTAAATTATAAAATAGTCGCTGAAAATAATTAATGTTACACGATAACGAAGCTTCATATGCATTTATAATTGTTAATAAAAAAGCGCGTTCAATCTGAAAGAATAAATCGTGCAATATATATTGTATTTTTACATGCATAAACACGTAATGGACGAAATTTGTAAATGTATGTTCCATTTAAACGACATTATTTTCAAAGAGTATCGTTGAAATTTAATAAAAGTCGACATATTTTAAATCGTAATGTGTTTTCCATGTAATTATAAATATATTCTATGTTTTAAAGGTAAAAGTTTTTTTAAAAAATTTATTGAATGTTTACATCTTCGAAATAATAACTATTTTCGTTTGTATTGTAAACTTAACGATTTATGTAGATATATATCTACATAAATACATATGTCTTCCACATTGTCTATCACCACATACACACAAACACGCTGTATTTAAATTTCATCTCAATTTGTAATCGATTTCTTTACACACACCATCTGAAAATTAATTTATATTATATTTGCAGAACTTATACGAAAAAATCTCGACAGTTTTATTCTCAGATTTATTCGCACTCTTAGTCAATCTCAAACCAAAGTTTACATTAACACATTAAACAATCACTCTTAACACAGCGTGAAGCAATCCGAACCATTGAGAGTTTTACTCTCAAAATGGCTTACACCTGACAACAACTTACAGTTTCACAAAAATATTTATAGCGAATTGATTGTTGTGGCGAGTGGTTTTTATTACTATTTCCGATTCGACCGCTATTAAGGTATCGTCGTAAGCGCTCATCGATACGGTTCGATGGCGTGGAACTTAAAATTACGTATCGCTTCCAAGAAAATGAACAATATCGCAGTTACGTCGATCGGATAGAAAGTAAACTGCTTAATCATAGTATTCCGTGATGCAAGAAACATTAATTGTCCCAAGACGTTCGCGAAATAGTTTCTTCGATAATTGATTACCGCTGTGGATGCCTTGATATAATTCATTGATTGATTAATGTTCGTTCGAGAAAGTCTATCAAATTATTAAAATAAAAAAATAAATATATAAATAACTAAGTAAATAAAACAGTAAATAAATAAATAAATTTGCAAGTAAATAAAGAAAAGAAATTTTAGTATTTAAAGGAATCTACAAGTGAATTACAAAATAAAATAATTAAATAAATATATACGTGAAAATAAATAGGTCAAGAAATAAAGAAACAAATTCAAAATAAAAATAAATAAAATAAAAAGATCATTTAAGAAATCTAGATAAATCATTAACCAAATGAAAGAATAAATATATAATATGATGCATACATAAATGAACAAAACTACGAAATCCATAAATAAATAACTAACAAATGAATGAATATATATATAACAAAATCAATAAAGTAATAAATAAATAAATAAATAAATTTATGAAATAAATAAATGAACAAAATATAAAGATCTAAAAATTAATCATTAGATAAATGAATGAATAAATACATAAGCAATTAAATAATTAAAAGAATAAATAAATTTATGTAATGTGTAAATAAGTGACCAAAAAGTTT